AGCATAAAAGTAGACATGGTCTAGATTGTGGTTTAATAGAAAGTCCAACAGAATCAGGGGACAAGACTTATAGTCCTAATTCTTAGGGTCTTATAGCTTAACTAAAGTAACAACTTTTTATGCCTGTTCCTCAATTTACAAATTATCTCTTCCTTCCTGCTTTAGAATGATACAATGAGATGTTATTAAAAGGAAAAGGGAAGGAGGAAGAACAAAGACATATGGTTTGGGGCATAATGATTTTCTGGGAATGAAGAAATGCTGATTTGTACAAACATGTAAAAGAGTCAATAGAGAAATTGGCATAAAGCATATGAAGGAAAAGAAGAGAGATAAAGAAGAGGAACAAAAGTTTGAATTGGCTGTGCCAATAACAAAATAGTATATTGTTTACTGGCCTGAGATTTTTTTTTTGGTATGTATATTCATAATGCGTGTAAATACCAATCAGTATTAAAATGCAATGAAATTATATGTGAAAGAAAAGACAGGTGAAGATGCTTTGATCTCTTAGAATGCAATGAAATATTGATATATACAGCCAAAATAGCATAATAAGAAAAATAAGGAAGATTCAAGATAGTATTGGGAAGATGCATAGGGAAAGGAAGAAAAAAAACAAAACAAAACCGGATCTCGGTAATGGAACAAGGAGAAAGTGGGATGTGCAGTAAAGAGGTGAGCCATTTAGCCATCTGGTACATGCCAGGAGAAAGCTCACCCTAGAAAACCCAAGTTGTTTTCAATAGCAAGCTGAACATGGTATGGGTGGTCAAATAAAAAGGAAAAAGATCACTATTACTGAAAATTTAATAAGAGTAAAACAAGAAGGTGAGAACAAAATTGAATTTTAATAGTATGAACTGTATATGCTTGATTGGTGGTCCCACTTGAAATACTTCCCTGTCAGTCAGAGCTACTCAAACTACCAGGGTGAGTCTCCAGCTCTAACTCTCTAGAACAGGGGGAAAAATATGGGAGAAAATAGCAGTGTATGGATTTAAATTCTGGGAGATAAGACACCGCTCTGTTTTCTACTATTTAAGATTTCACTAGACCTTCGGAGTTCTGTAAATTTTAGTAAAATAATTTTACTAAATCTTTCAGAATCTGGATTTCCTCATCAGTAAATTTATAAAATTATTTGTTCAAATTGAGGCTCTTTCAGTTTCTTCTAATTTTTAATGCCGTGTGCTTTAAACAAGGATGATTAAAATAGAGAAAAATTATTTGAAATCACCATTCTGAAATACCTACAAGTACAGTTGCAAGGATCTAGAAGAATCTATTAGTCTTAAAATGAATGCCACTTTTAAAATGAAGGAAAGAAATCCTTTGGTAAATTAAATTAATCATGTTGAGCTTTTGCAAATGGTAGTAATTCATATTGTCACTGTGGTAACAATGGTTTGCCATGCAATTCAATACAGAGATTTAAGACAAAGCAAAACAAATTTGGCCTAAGATGAAAAAACACTAATACATTCTCATACCCAAGAGTCTGTTGTCAAGTAGGCTCTCCCATCCAGAAATTTTCTTTCAAGATGGCACCATAGTTTCCTGGCTACAGTTTATTTAATCAGCTCTTTTTTTTTTTTTTTTTAAGTAGTAATCTAAGTTTGCAACTGCCCAGAGTCAGTTCTTTTTATATAAATAGACGGTAAAAAAAAATTTTAAAAGCCCAGGCAAACAAAACAAAACGAAAAAACCCTACAAATTAATGGTTCAAGTATTATGTGACTTGATGAAAAATAAAAACTCTATTATCATGGCAATGTAATGAGTGTGGTAGTGGAAAACCATTAATCACACATGAAAAAACTTTAGAATTTTATATAGATGATACAGAGAGAGAGAGAGAGGGAGATTTTCCAGGCCTGTATAAGATTTCTTAAGCTCTATATGTATATGTAGATTAATATGTTAAAAACATGAAATTATATTACCTTATTATAGAAATATCCACTTCAGAAAACCTGGCATAATCACTATACCTATAGGCAATTTAAAATGTATATTTTGCCTTTTATTATAATAAAGACAAAAGATATTTTAAGAGTCAGGGAGCAATTCTAGTATTTATAGAATAAAATCCTAATACTAGTAGGTAGATTGGTTTGGGAAATAACACAGCAGATACAATTACTACAATTGTCTCTCTTCCACTCTCTTAGGCTCCAGGATACAGAAGAATCAATTAGTCCTCAACAGACTATGACCTTGAAGGCTATAGCTCTGCATAATATTCTGAATATGCTGAGACAGATAGAAAAGAGGGAATAAAGTCCTGAAATAAATGAATAGTATCTTTCAGGTATGATAATGTCATTTAAAAATATACACTATGATGTTTAGTTCATATCAAAAACACATAATCAAAGAAAAGTTCTGATTCTTTCTCTAAGCAATACTTTCTTAGTGGAAAATTTAAAAAGTGAATGAATATTCTGAATATGCTGAGACAGATAGAAAAGAGGGAATAAAGTCCTGAAATAAATGAATAGTATCTTTCAGGTATGATAATGTCATTTAAAAATATACACTATGATGTTTAGTTCATATCAAAAACACATAATCAAAGAAAAGTTCTGATTCTTTCTCTAAGCAATACTTTCTTAGTGGAAAATTTAAAAAGTGAAAGAGATTACAAAATAACAAAATCTAATTCCAAGTCTTTTTTTTTTTTTACTTCCCATTAGTTAATGATTACAAGCTTTTTAAAAAACAAAAGCAACCACTCATGAGTGTCTGAAAACAAAGCTTGATGAACCAATCCTTTTCGAAAATCAAGACACAATTTTTTGGATACTAGTGATTTTCTTATTTTCAGGCACTAGTCCAAAAAATTACCACAGAGTTTCCCACACAGAAAACCCTTATAGGCTGTACTGTCTTAACCAACTGTCTATCCCTAACTTTTCAGGAGAAAACTACTTCCCAGACTGCTTTTCCAGGCTTATTTCCAATGCACTTCAGAAGGCTGCAGCTGTGCATCTGGCCAGAACTGGTCACTGTGATGCTCTGAGGCAGCAGTAAATCTTTTCTACTCAATGCAAATGCCAGAAAAATCAATGCCCTGGCTTGGAACGAAAAAAAGATTTTTTTTTTTTTTTTAAGGAAACTGTATGGAATGTATAATCTATTAAAACACTTAGAAGAATGAACCATAAAAAATAATTTCTCAAGAAGTCACAACATACTTTTTGACATGGTCCTAGATCAGACAAATGTGCTGGATGTTTCTTTGTTTGCTTGCTTTCCTCAGATGATAAAATTATAGAATTTAGCTGAAGAGTTTTTCAAAGGGTCCTCTTTCTTTTTCTGGACAACTAACTATTAAGCCACATTTTCATTAAAGACTTAAGTTTAAAACACTAAAGACAATGAAGTAACCTTGTCCTCATAGTGAATTTTGCTTCTCTTTGCAGGATCTGTACTTGCTTTTTATAGCCTGTCATTTCATCTGGGTATTATTTCTCGGTCACTCTGCCAGGTGGGAAGAGGCGGCGAATGCAGTGATGTCTGTCAGACCTTTAATGATGCTTCAGGGATTTGATAAAGATACAAAGCAGTGTCTGCAGAAAGGAGCTTCTTCCCTAATTACACCTCAAAAACAAGGCTCTCTCTCTCTTTTTAAATCTTTTCCACTGAAACTGATGTGTATAAAAAAAAATCTTGAGTCACAGACACAAATCAAGTTTTTTTCTGTGTTTCTACAACATGCGGATCTACCTCATACTAAACTAATGTCTGGAAAAGATATTCTTTATTCTTCATTACCATCAAGAGAGAAACAGAAGGGGTATTTCATCACTGACTCCTTACCCTGATCTCTCCTTTAACTCTGAGATTTTACATACGTTTTTAAGAACCAAATATTCGGATCGTTTACTTTTTTTTTTACTAAGGAAATATTCATCAATGGTAAATAGTGATAGAAGATAGAGAAACAAAAGTAAATTAGAAACATGTTTTTAAAAAGCTATAGAAAACTCCTCCTTTCTATATTAACGTTTAGAACAATCTGACTAGTCATGGTTTCATCTTTGTCAACTTTCTATTATAGAGCATCGCGATGGTCCAGTACAAACAGCAGCATATTGTTCTGTATGGTTTTAAGAGCATGGGCTCTCTTCACTCACAGGTTATTAAGCTGGGCTGCTGCAATCTGACCAGCAAATGACACATGTCTGAAAAAACAATGTACCTTACTAATGGATCTTGTACTTTTTAATGACCGCCAAGGAAGCTACTTAAACATTTGATTACAGAAGACAAGACTAATATGGGAAAATCCTTTCATGCAGAATTGTACGGTGTCCTGAATAAAATAAAGCTTTTCCTGAGAAGTGCTTAGTAACTGAAACTACAATCTGGGCAGGACAGTAATATTTGATGCTGGTGAGAGGTGAGCACTGTAAATATCTAAAGGCTTGATGCAATACCAGGAAGAACCAATTAAAATACAAACGTGGGAAGAAGTGGTTAGGAGAATAGGAAGAAGCGCTGGAGAAAGATAATAGGCAATTTGGGATTGTTGGGAGGCAGAGGGTAAAGGGAAGGTAAAGAAAGGTAATAGGAAGTCTACCTGGGAAAAAGAAAGACAAAATCATAAATCATACTCATTGCTATATGGGAGTCACATTAATAAAAAATAAGGGATGGTCTGATATTTTAATTTTAAGAAGTGTCAGAAATAGATTGAATTTAACTTAAATTCAAACATGACTCGAAGACACTGAAGTTTTTGGTCCCCCACACCAGATTTAACAATCTGACTAGAGGGAGCTTCTGTTAGAGCACCGATTCAAACCAGCACTTTACAAAATCTTTTTACTCATCTCTTCAATGCCACCCCAGCCATCACATGATATGCTTAAACAAAACCACGCAATTAAAATACAAGCAAGAAATAAAATAGCTACATGCTCTAGAGAACACTTTTTAGGACCTGAAGCCCACCCCTGTCCTTTATTCATCATCACTCTCTCTCTACTTACAAAGTTTAGGAGCAGTTTGGAGATTAGTTTCTGTTGTTTGTGGCTGAGTTGCTGACTTGGGTGTTCTCACCTCAGGGTTCCGAGTGGGTGAAGGGAAAGATGGTGCAGTGGATGGCAGAAAAGAAAAAGCAAAAATACGATTCTTCAAGGTTGGTACTGCTGAAGGTTCAGAGGACACAACAGCATTGTCAACTTGCACTGTAACTTGAACCTCAGTTTCAGATTGAGCCCTAGAGACAGGTGAAGTATATGCCTCAGATGATACCCACACAGCTGAGGCAGCAGTTGGATCCAGAGAAATAATAGGGTCCTGGCCTAACCCCCCAGGGTCAAGGTGAGTAGGAGAGTCATACTCAAATATCTTGTCCACAAATACCCACTTGAGGCCGGCAATGCAGAGGCAGAGGCTGACTAGGCAAGCCAGAATGGGGACAATGCAGATTTTCTCTGAGTTGAGACAACCTCTCAGGCGCTCGGCTTCTAGGCAGACACAGCAGGGAACTGCCAGTCCAGTGGTCCTCCCATCTTCAGTCTGGGTCTCTGGCATGTCTTCTGCTGCCGGAAGCCCAACAAGAGATGGGTCTGCACTCAGCTGAGTGGAGGGGCTGGAGGACCTCTCAGCAGCTACCTCAGACATGTCTGGGGAATAGATCTCCATCGGCTCACCTCCAGAAGGCCTGGCTTCTCTCACGGTCCATTACCATGCAGAGCCCCCCCCAAGCAAATGATACAGCATCTTACAGGGGGAAATCGATAAGTCGTCCAAGTCCAAGGCCATTATCAAAAGCAAGAGGAGTTCAGGAGAAAAGAAGGGAAAAAAAGCCTCTAGCAACTACCAAGTAAAAGTATATCGTAATTCTTTACTGCTGTTTCTGGGCCACTTTTGCAGTTCTTTTAAATGCTTCTCCAAACCATCGCAGCTGGTCAAGAGGACAGGGGCCAAAATAGAAACCAAGCTGACAGTGGGTCGATTAAGTAAACCAGTAGCCCAAACTGAAAGGCATGTTTCTCACCTCGAGCATCTGAAGCTGGTGTCTGCTTAGATGGAGAAAACAACTGTCATGCAGTAGAAGTAAGAGCAAAAGCAGGACCAGCGCTGGCGGCGGCGGCGGCAGCAGCGGCGGCGGCAGGAGAGGCAGCAGTGACAGTAGCAACAGCATCCTGTTGTGTTAACGCGACGGCTGAAAGAGGCTGAATCATTACAGAGCAGCAGGTGCCTGCCCTCCGAGCATCACTGCAAACAGTATCATCACAGAGGGATCTGAAGGGAAGAGTGCGGCCAGGAGGGGCGGTAACTCCCCTCCCCGCCCTGCCTCCGCCCCCACCCCCCAACCACTCCTCTTTGTCCTTCTTGAGCGCTCATTCACTTTCTTCCTCTGTGGGTCTCTCCTTCTTCATAGTCTCTTTCTCTTTCTTTCCCCTCCTCATTCAAAGACGTTCTCCCTCTCTCTCTCTCTCTCAATCTCTTTCTTTTTCCATCTTCCTCTCCCAACCCCCACCCTCTATCCCCACTCTAGAGCTGCTGGCTGGTCTGAGTAAAATCAGTATACCCAGCAATGCAGGACTGCCAGTGACTTCCTATTTTATCCAATTAGAAGGAATAAAGGCCATCAAATCAAAGAGAAGCAGGCAGGCACCAGTTAAGCTTAGTCCCCATGGCCCCCACCCCTTTTCTGCCTTTTCTCTTTTTCTCTCCGCAAAAGCAGCCCCAGTCTTCCACCCCAACCTTGCTTGCTTTCAGTCTTGCTGGCTCTCTTTCCTTCACCCACTGTTGGGTCAGAAAAAGCCAGCGATCGATGCTAGCAATCTAACAAAGCTGGGATGGGGCGGGGGATGTAGGTGGGACCTTATGGGTTGGACCTGAGGCTTGGCAAAGTCTGATATCTGATTCCTCCCTAGAGAGGTAAGCTTTTCAACAGCAATTTCTCCCTGCCTGCTGCTGAGAGATAGCATTCCTTCCCCAGCCCTCTAATAAGTTCTGCTCACCAAGAGGACTGTTACTACCTGATTTTCAACCAACAGTTAGAACATTTTTTTTCTAACCATGGACAGCTCTGCCTTCAGCCCTTCTCATGCAATGGTCGTGTAAGACTTTATAATTCCCAATATGAAGTGCTGAGTATATGCTGAAGGAGCAGGGAGCTGGAGAGGGGAGAGAGAGGTTCTTATATCCTTACTCTGGTCCCCTTTAAATTTCCATATCCCTGTAGCACTCACAGCAGCCCTAGACTAATAATGTCAAGCTAATAAGAAACACTGGTAAGTAACAGAGCTATGAAGGGAGCAAAGGCTACCACTTCATTTTGAAATTAGCCTTCATTGTGACTCCACACTGCGGAGGTTTGAATTCCCTGGGCACTGTAATATATACCACACGTCCTCAGCTATAACCACACAGCAAGTATTAAGAAGAGTTTTCTGTAACAGCATGCCTTTTGGGTTAGGCTTCAGTGGCTTTACCTTATAGATAGTTTTAATGCTGATTTTTTTCCCCCTTTTAAAACAGCAGGCATTAAAAGACCAAAAGACATGCACTGTCCTTAATAGAGGTAGATTCCCCTGAACTTCCCTCATTCGCTGCATGTCAGTGTACACTTTATGCATCTGAACCTTTAATCCATGTTTTACTGTGACTGGACACCTGAATGGTTTCCAAGGAACCATTTTGTTTATCTATGTCAACAGGAGTTTTAAAAACTCTCTCTAAATCTATATTATATAACCATCATGAGTCTCAGAAGAATAAAATTTAGGGCTCAAGTGCTGAGAAAATCTGCTGTAAGTACATTATTTTTGTATAGCGCAATCTCCACTGCTTTGAATGATTCTTAAGCTTTAAGTGGGCATGAAATAAGAATATTATAATTTTTTAAATGGAAGTCCATAATTATAAATAATTTAAAGAGTATTAATATCTTAAAATGTGTTTGCAGTATTAATAACGCAACAAAAGCCTGAACCAATTTGTTTAACTGTAATTATGACAATGACAAGCTTATGGGAAAAATTAGTTATTCTTAAATTCACTTCTACATAACCTGTACTTATATACCTGAAACAGGTATTTAACAATAATTCCTATGCATATTTTATAGCTTTAATGATTTGATTTTAAAGAATTGAGAGTTTTACTAAAAATTCTAGTAATGGACATGAAATTTCATATCATGGAAAATCTATATTAAAGCATGTACAGTATTCAAGCTGGAAGGTATTAAGATTTTAATTATCAATATTCATGTAAAAATATTCAAAAACAATATAAGCAAGTGAATTTATGCTAAATTAGGGTAATTTATAATTCTTTTAGAGATCACCTGCTTTAAATATGTGGCAGTTAACTTCTCAATTCTGCCCCAAACCAATATTACACTTCAGTACGATACACTGGCATTTTTACTAGACTACTCTATAAATTACATAAATGTCTAACTACTATGCTGTAAACCTGAAATTTATATAAAATAAAATTGAATGTCAACTGTAATTGAAAAATCAAAAAAAGGAGGGGAGGGGAAAGCGAAAGGGAATTTGAGGTTCAAATTTCCAGGTATAAAACAAATAAATCATGCGGATGTACTGTACAGTACAGGGATATTGTGATAGCGTTGTTTGGATGCTGTAAACCTGAAATTTATATAAAATAAAACTGAATGTCAACTGTAATTGAAAAATCAAGAAAAGGGGGGGGAGGGGAAAGCGAAAGGGAATTTGAAGTTCAAATTTCCAGGTATAAAACAAATAAATCATGTGGATGTAGTGTACAGTACAGGGATATTGTGATAGCGTTGTTTGGTGTCAGATGGTTGCTAGACTCATCACGGTGATCACTTCCTTAGGTATACAAATGTTGAATAACTATGGTGTGCACCCGAAACTAATACAATATTGTGTGTTAGTTATGTTTTAATAAAAATCTTTAAAAAATACACTGGCATTTCATCCACAGCCAAGGACATCTAAATTTCAAAGACCAAATGGGGTTCGGGTAACCCAAGTCAGGCAGGGAAGAGAGATACCAAGAACAGTAACCCAAAGTTAAGAAAAGTGGTCCTTAACTTGCACCAATAACAACCACTCATCTCACCTTAATCATTAAGAGTGAACATATTCAATAAGAAATAAATTACTAGACACTGCTCTAGTTGTCATATTAAAGATGCCCATCGCTTACAAAGGAAAACAATATATTGTACAAATGCTCAGACAAAATAGAGACAGACTCGTGGGCTGCCACAGCTGTTCTGTCTCCTGGACTACATGAATCAGACTGTGGCCTGTGTATGTGTCTGCTCTGGAGATGAAGCAGAACCTCATGGCCCATTGGAGCAGAGGTCAGCTTGCAGAGAACAAGCATCCTACAAAGTTGTTTCCCACCAATTTGAAGGTGAATGTAATTTAGGAAAAGGAACAGGACTGGAGGTAAAGAATAAAAGGAATTTTCCACTAGTTTGATCCTTGAGACTAGGAGCCAAAAGCTGCCCTCGATTCTTTATCAAATTCTCTATTGCAATAATGAAGTGAGGAAGGGTAGTATATATGGGATTAGGGATCAGAATTTCCTTTGGATAAAACATGCCCGTTCATAGGAAGAACTGCCAGGATACATCACTTTAACCCTTTAGGCTCCATCCCATCAAAGCCCAGGAACACCCATATTTCCATATCCCCTTGAAAAATGAACAAGAGACAAAGCTTTACTACCTTTTGAAAACCACATTATCACCTCCTTTTAAAAAAGAGCTACATTTACTGAGACTGACTTTTGTGCCAGGAACTCTGTTAGGTTCTTAACATAATTTCTGATCTTCACAAATCCTGTACGTACTATCTTGAAAATAAAGAAACAGACTCTGGCAGCTTAGGTAACATGCTGCCCGAGTCTGTTTCTTTATTTAACTATTGAACTGTAGGGCGAATATCTGTGCAAAGGTTTGACTTATGTTATTGCTGCTGAAAAATACTGCTTCTCTGTTTTAATCAAAGAATGCATCTGATTATGTATTGCTTACCTATCGCTTCATTGGGAGAATAAGTGAACCAGAAAATGTAACACTGAAATAGTCATTATTACCTAAATGTAGTTGGTAAACAAACTTGAAGGTGACTAGTTTCCGAAATAAAAGCCTTCTAAATTTTTGCCATAGTGATTTTCAGAAGTTACAGGATTAAGCATAAGCTATTTAAAAATTATCTATTTATAGTTTAAATTGAATGAATAATTCTGCAGTCTCAGTTCCAGGATTTTTTTTTGGAAAATTATCTCAATTATGTTTGCTGTTCAACAAACTGCCCTGAAATAGTTCAAAACAATAACTGTTGTATTATATCACACTAGTCTGCAGGTTTACTGGGTTCAGCTGAATGGTTCTTCTGCTCCATTCAATGTCAGCTGGGGCTGCAACAGCTGAACATGCTATTGGGCTGAAACATTCAAGATGGCTCACATACATGACTGGCAGCTAGGAGCTCAGCTGGGACTGTCAGGTGGTACGCCAACATGTGGCCTCTCTACATGGCTTGAGCATATCACAGCGTGGCAGCTGGGTTCTGAGAGGAAGCATCCCTAAGGGAGGAAGTGTTCCTACTGCAGCCTATTGATTAAGCAGTCACAGTGCTGCCTGAGATTCAAAGATGGGGCAAATAAATCCCGATGGAGAGTGACAAAGAATTTTCGACCATAATTATTCCACCACAGAAGGTAAGGAAGTAAATGTTAGTAAATCAACTTGGGTCAAGAGAGACACGGTATAATATATAAAGGGATTAGGCATAACAAAGTCAAAATACACTCTTATTTCCAATCCACTTTTATAACATTCCAGCATCCTTCCAAGCCAGCTTCAATGAAGAAAAAACTCCTGTTTTATCATCAAATAAAAAAATACTCAAATTCCTTTGTTATCTCAATTCAAGCTAGGCTAATTTGTTCTGCATTAATTTTATTTATTTTATTATTATAAGTATTTAGCATAGTTCCAGGAGATGAAGAGAATGGTAAATGCCATTTTGCTTTTGACCATATTACCCAA